TCTCTACATCTGAGGGGAAGCACGGTATTCAATGGACTGGTTGGATGCAACTAGACGATTTGAACTTCATAGATGACCTAGTTATTCTACTCCATACATACGAAGTAATGCAGTCCAAGACAACAACTATAGCAGAAGCTTCTGTATCTACAGGCCTCAACATACACAAAGGGAAAGCAAGATCCACAACGTCGATGAACACTAAACTAGTCACACTCGATATAGAAACTCTGTACGGAGTAAAAGTTTTAAGCGTCTGAGGGACATCGCTGATAAATTAAGGTGATCTGATGCATGTGTTAAGGCACGGACCGGTAAAGCACAGATTGAGGTCTTGCGATTGAAGAATATATGGAACTCAAAACGACTGTCATTCAACATAAAAGTCACAATCTCTGATACGAATGTCAAGATGGTTCTGGTGTACGGAGATAAAACGTGGAAAACTACTTAAACCATCATCAAATAGTTACAAGTATTTATAAGTAGTTGTCTACGCACGATACTCTATATCCGTTGGTGGGATACCATCAATAACAGCCGACTGTGTGAGAAGATAATGTAGCATCCAGTTGAAGAGGAAATTAGGGATAGACGTTGTAAGTGGACAGGACATAGACTGCAGAAGTAATCAAATTGCATCAGGAGGCAAGCACTAGCTCGGAACCCTGGACAGAAAAGGAAAAGTTAAAGATCAAGGAACATATCACATCAGGAATCGACAGAAGAAACCTACAGAATTAGTAGCAATTGGAAACAGCTGGAAAGAATTGCCCAGGACAGAGTTTGTAACCAAATTCTGGTCGGTGCCCTCTGCTGCGCGAGCAGTAACAGGCGTACATAAGTATATTGATTTTCTGACTGAATAATCAATTCTTTGGATCTTCCATCGAAAGCAGTAGTGTCCTGCCTTTAAATAACGCGTTCAAGAAAAGACTTTGATGCACATATTTACTAGTAAAGGGCTAACACAGGACTTCGTTACCCTTACCAACCCGGCGCGCGCGCTATTTTAAAAGACGATGGTATTTTTCACGCTGAGTAAATTCTGTTATTTAGATCGTTTATTACTTATCACGACGAATGTTTACAGTTTAATTGAATTTATTTCAGTTAGAGTATTGGATCAGAGTATCATTTTTATTTCTAAAGTATTTTGCCGAAAGCACTTTGTTTTCTATTGTATTTCTAAGTACTTTTGGTTCTAACAATTTACACTTTTCCACTTTTCTGGTCATAGATCATTTTGTCTCTGGGTACTATTGTCTAATTTACTTTCAAAAACCTCTGTTCGATGACTGGACGGTGCAAGAAAAGCAATTGCCAACGTCCGGGCTGCCAATATCCCGTTGGATGAGGCATGTAGTGTGATGGGTACAAAGGCTGGTGCCACGAAGTTGACGCCTGCGGATTTTAAATGGTTCAGTAAAAACGGTTGAGTATGGCTTTGTCAGCAGTGCTGTTCGGACGAAAACAGCTTGCTAACTGAGGCCATCTCAATGGTAAATGCTGCGAAAACGCGTTTTAGCAAGCGCAGTCGTGCCACGCCGGACAGCACCCTCTCTGTCGACACGCAAATTGATGTAAAGCCACCTCAAGTAAGCTCGGAAACAGCTGACTCACATCCATCAAAGAAGGAAAGACCGTTTTCAAAGAAGTCTGTCTTAGCTAAGAACTCAAGAAAGGAAATTTCTCTCTGTTCTCCGTCTTCTAAGCGGTATCCAGCAAGAAACGCCTAGGAATCGCAATCTCAAGGCTCTATCTGTTTCTAGTAGGAAGCACAACCTGACTTTTCAAGTCGTCGACAACCCTCCGGATTCCTACAGATTCTTACGCAACTGTGGTTGCGAAAGTTGACGAATGGGTACAGGTCGTAAGCAAGGAACGACATAACGGTATGAACGTAAATCCTACCCTCTTACAAAAGTAGTCAAGAAACTGAAGACTGATCGCAGTGACAGGTCAGTTATTTTTTATAGAAACAAGGAGAGTGAATGCTCTGAACCGAAAACTCGTTTTGAGCATGACATAGGGTTGATAAAACAGCTACTAAACCAACTTATGCCTCAAAATATCTCTGGAGTCACCTTGTTAAAGGTGTATAGACTAGGTAGTCAAACGAACTTAAAACCAAATCAAGCCAGGCTGCTGAAAGTGGCATTCAAATCTCCTGATGAATAGGACGCTATTTTAGAGAGTGGACATGAGTTAAAATGTTCAGGAGTTTTTGTCTGCAAAGACTTACCTCTGGCAGACCGTGCAAAAAGACGGTAAGCCGAAAATCAACTACAACTTAGGCTAGACGCTGACGAAAAGGATCTTAAAATTGTAAATTTTCGGGCTGTGAGGCTTCAACAGAGAATGATGCCGCAGGCACTTTGTGTGAAACATGAAGCCATCTAAATAGGCTTCGGATCTGTTACACTAATCCACGAAGGTTGCTCAATAAGCGGTTGGAACTAGGTGTACATATTGACTCTAAAAAGCCAAATATAATCACATTCTCAGAAACTTGGCTGGTGCAGTCTATAGATAGTATGGAACTTGATTTTGAGGGTTTTATGTTAGTAAGAACCTACAGAATACAAAAGCTCAAAGGAGGGGGAGTTGCTTTATTCATTAAGAATGCTATTCCATTCGCTATTATCGACAGTGTATCTCATGAGAGTGGTACGTGTGGATTACTTCGTTTCCGCTTGAAATGCAAGGGACAAGATCTACTGATTGGTTTGGTCTGTCACAGTCCATGCTGTGAGGTAAATGAGGTCTTGCTAAGCAGTCTCAATACTTGGTCACAAAGTGGTCGATGTCTAATCCTAGGAGACTTTAATACACCCATGGTATACTGGGAAAATCTGAGAACTGAATTGTCAGATAATTCCTTCGAGCAGGAACTAGTTGATGCCGTTATTACGTATGCTCTAATGCAACATGTGAAAGAAGCAACTAGAAACGACCCGAACTCTTAATCATTTTTACTAGATCTTATATCGATCCATTATGAGGATGGCGTTACAAACCTCGATTACATGCCACCCCTAGGTAAAAGTGATCATGTAGTTCTAAATTTTGACTTCCATATAATTGTCAAGCACGATCATGCGTCAGTTCAATCCAGACCTAACGTCTGGATAGCAAACATACAAGATATCATGCACTCAGCATCATCAGTAGATTGGACAATAGAGCCACAGTCCTCAATCAAAACGGCTCGGGACGCATTTCGGAATTTATACTTAAAAGTTACCTCACCCCACATCCTTTGGACTACATCATAGGGGCCGAGAAATTCTCCAACATGGTTCAGAAGGGAAGTTTGCATCCTTCTCCGTAGGAGAAGAAAAATGTGGGATAGATTTAGGTTACTGGGGACTGATGAGACAAAATCTCAGTATCAAAAAGCTCGGAATACCTGTGCCTCAACCCTCCGTAAGTCTAGAAGATTATACGAAGAGAAAATTGTCGAGAAACCCATAGAATGTTCTAAAAGTTTGTATTCGTATATAAACCAAAGGACAAAAAGAAGGGGAAATTTTGCCTGCACTATGGGGAGACAGTACTGCCTCATCATTAGTGGAGGACGACTTTGACAAATCTTAAGTATTCCCAAAATTCTCTAGCCATGTATATACCATAGAAACACTCTTCCCGTCACTCCATACAAACCCCTTTGCACAGACACTGGACAGCGTGACCATTAAGGAACTCGATGTCTTTGGTCTGCTAAATAAGCTTGACATAGATAAATCCACGGGGCCTGGTGAATTGCATCCTAGGCTACTGAATGGATTATCTAACTTCGTTGCGAAACCTTTAGGTATATGCTTTAATCTATCTGTAAAGCAGGGTCGTTTACCAAAAGATTGGAAAAACGCCGTAGTAAGTCCTGTCTTCAAAACAGGTACGAAACATAAACCTGAAAATTACCGACCTGTTAGCTTAACTAGTGTGGTTGTTAAAATCTTACAAAAGATTATTCGGGAGGAGCTGTTGAAGTATCTCGATGAAAAACGGATCCTTTCGAAAAAGCAGCATGGTCTTAGAATAGGTTATTCTTGTCTCACTAACTTATCAATGGCTCTTGAAAGCTGGTGTACCCAGGGCACAGTTTTAGGGCCAGTGTTATTCCTCTTGTTTGTAAATGATCTTCCTCGCTTAATATCATCATCGTTTTTGCTATATGCTGACAATGTCAAGATATGGAGAAGTAAGGGTGATGGCTTGAAACTCCAGAATGACCTGGAGAAATTATCTGGATGGTCTCAAACCTGACGGTTCCCGATTAATACTTCCAAGTGTATTGGGATGCGTATCGGTAATCGAGGTACAGATACATACAAGATGAATAACACTGAGCTACCTGTTATCCAAATACACAATAACTTAGGAGTCTTCGTTAGCCAAGACTTAAAGACTATTGAACACTGCCGTGCAATAGCCGTCAAAGGTTTTAGAATTTTATGGTCTTTAGCCATGACGACGCTGAAACATTTTTGAATTTGTGCGCAGTGTTCGTACGTCCTAAAATTGAGCACTGCATACAAGCGGCTAGCCCCTGCTCAAAAAAGACAAAGGGATTTTGGAAAAGATTCAGAGAACATCAACTAAGCTGATTCCCGGAATAGCATAGCTCCCGTATGATGCTCTACTGGCCAAACTAAATCTGTCCCCGTTGTCATGTCGGAGAATTAGAGGCAACTGATTACAGTTTCCAAATTTCCTATTGATAAATTTGCACCTGATATGCCCCATTTTTCTTGTCTTCCAAAACAGAGAATTTACGAGGACACAGCAAAAGATTTCACAAGTACATAACGAATTACTTGTCAGATATCGACTTTCGCATCGAATCATCGACGAGTGGAATTCATTACCTCAGCACGTGGTTCAAGCTCCATCTGTCGACTCTTTAAAAAGAAAGTCTTATCATCTGAGAGACGGTCATTGCCTCCCGTTCTCCACGAACTGAAACTTTTTTCAAAACAATTAGTTGATCAATCATAACATTAAGCGCTCTATATTTCTGTAACGCTACTTTTAGATGGTGTTCGTAAGTGGTTGGGATTATTTGATTCTTTTTCTTAGTTTCATCGAATTGATAATTCTTCACCGTTCACCACCTCGTACAGATGCTATCCAGTTTCCTTTTTAGCCGATAATTTTCGTTCTAGCGTGGAAAAAGGAGGGAAAAGTAAGACTTCATATACTGTGTAAGTGTTTTAGTTATCATGCCTCCATCTGCTTTAGATGTACTTAGTAAGTCTCAGGTTTATGGACGTATAAAACTTTAAGCACGACTGAACGTCCAGTACCCAATGCTGTTCAAGCTAACTAACCAACAAGCAAACCGAACTACTCATTGTGGTGTACTGGAATTTGTTGCGGATGAAGGGAGGATTTATGTTCCTTATTGGGTAGACATCAAATATATCAGTTCTATTTTAGATGCTAAAAAATCTACATTTGGAAGAGGGTGGCCTGGTCTCTGTAGTTAATGCAGCCTTACCTGTGGCTTCTTTCGCTCGTTTCCAGCCTCAGAGTACTGATTTTCTGGACATATCTAACCCTAAAGCTGTGTAATTTTATTCCCAACTTATAGTTACATTTAGACTGGAAAATGCTCTTCGAGACTTTGCTTGCCTCACAGTCGGAGATATCATTGCTATCAACTACAATGAGCGTATATATGAGCTTAAAGTGTTGGAAACGAAACCGAAGGATGCAGTCACTATAATTGAATGTGACATGAGCGTAATTTTCCTATTCATATATTTGTCTTTTTAGGTTGATTTCGCACCTCCAGTTGGATATCAGCCTACTGATTCTGGTTCTTCGAGCAAACAAAGTGATAAAGATCTACATAAGGTATATCTTTTAATTGTTCAAATTTTTTTATTTGAAACATAACTTACTGATAGCTGTTCAAAGTTCCTTTTGGCTGCCAACCCATATGGTACGAGTCTGTTGGTGAGATCCAATTAGTTTTGTGAAGTTCGAGATTATAGCAGACTCATTTGTCAGAGGGAAGAATCTTTAGGGTATTGTGTCATCTCAGCTGGTTTGGTGGTGACGCTTTTGTTTTGAACCCCCGTAAACCTACACATGTGGTAAAAATTAATAAATAAAAGTATCTGATGCCACCATCCTTATCTTTAAAGGTAGGAGTTATCATATCATAAGAATTGAAATAGCATTGCTTTTTTGTCTATATCAATTACCTTAATGACTGTACATAATTTAGATGCACAAATATCATCGTCGTTTTGTCACCACTTCCATTTTTGTGACAGTTTAAAAATTGTCAAAAATATTTGTTGGCAATATCTTTTCTCGTTCTGTCATTTGTCTACGCTGACTTCTTGTTTCAGATCGAAGAAGATCACATAGAAATCCCTTCAGTTGTTCAAGGATTCCAGGTAACTTGTTCATGTAACTTCTCTCTTGTTTAAATATTATGGCAATAAATACTTAAATACTTATTGCAATGGCTAAGGGACTCTAAGTAAACTTCAAGATCCTTGGTATTTCTATTTTGAAGATCGAGTAGGTGTTTACGTGTTTTGATTTGTTGAAAAATACTGACTTGTTAACTGAGGAACATCAAATATCTCATATTAGTAAATCGGTATAGTTCGGAGTCATCAAATGAGAAGGATAAATGACAAATAGCTAAGCTTACCTAGTAGTGATCCATGCTAATCTATCTTGTATTTACATCCATGGAATCATATATCGAAAACCATAAAGGGTCTTAAGTGTCATCGTCTTATATTACAATTATTGACTTCATAACTTATTAACTCTTCGCCTGACTACCCGGAAATATTTCTCAACCTGATATCTTAGTTAGCATCACATTTGTTGATAGCCTGTAACTAGAAATGCGTAATAGATCTGTATCCTAGGTCAGTACGGATTTCCTACCTTGCTGACTCATCGGCCCTACTGTGTGCAAAAAACACTTCATTCTCATCGATTGGCAGATACCTTTATTGTAATATCACTTGTCATCATTTGCAAACTAATCTGATAGAATGAAACAAACTACCTCATCATATTCTGAGTTAACAATAGAAGTCATAATGTATTGATATTGTATTCCCGACTGCCAAACAACGTTTCTTCTCCGACAATACGTCGTCAATTACTTACTATCGTGAAGAGAAAATGAACTCCTTGCGTACATTAAAAATTCGTGTTAATAAATGAGAACTAAATATTGAGTATTCGTTTTTGTTTTCTCTTTGTGATCATACTTTTTTCGTAATATTTAACCACAATGTTATCTGTCATCCAAAAGTATTGATTTCCTTCCTATTTCAGTTTAATTCCCTGTCTCTCTTCAGGATTTTGTGGTAATAGTAGTAACAGCAGTGTAGAACAAAGTGTTTATTTAGCATATTCGAGTTGTGGATCCATGTCTCAAGTTTCACGGGTCGAATCGTCATTAGGACCTATGACTTATTCATCGTCTATTTTAAAACTAATTCGTCGACTCCTGTTAATTTGTTTTCTTTTTATATAAAATCCTAAATGGTCCTGTCAGCCTAAAAAATAAGTAACATAAACTTTAGTCACATCATGGATGCCACCCATTTTCTTCCGAATAAGCGAATCATCAGTATTCAGGTTTCCTAATCCACATGAGTTGTATTTGTAGCTAAATAGACTAATTCATAGGAATATTTGTATGTTACCAGTTTTATTTGTTTAAACAGCTCATGAATTCTCATTTATTCTAGGCATTTAGCGGTACAGGTTATCGGTTAGATGGAAAAAATAAACAGGATAAAACTGATGAAACAGATAATGGTCAATCATTAGGGCAATTGAAAGAAAGAGAAAGGTAAGAATGACCATTATTTCTAACTTTATTATTGTTACACCAAAGTGTTCACAGAATAAATTGAATTATTGATAACATGAAAGTAATTTACATGTGATTTTAGTAAAGTAATTTGATCTTCGACCCCAACTGAATCGAAAGCTGAAGCAAATAATCATATCTTAACAGAAAGAGTTCTCTTTTCGGCGAATTCATCTTCAAAGCTATACAATCGCAAATATATATACTTGTCCTTTGATGAATACTTAAACCATTAACAATCAAACGATTATTAAACTTTCCTTGTTTTTAAAAGAATTTTTTAATAACTTTGTTTATTTAAATTCACTGTCAACATGTTTAACAGAAGTTTATTATCAGTATTATTATCATCCTGTTAAAATAAATACATATATTTGCGATTGTACAGCTTTGAAGATGAGTTCGCCGAAAAGAGAACTCTTCGCTGGACTAATCTTTCTTAATTAATGTCTTAATGGGTGTATTCCGTTTATCAAATATTATTATACAAAAGTGAGAATATGGAAAACAAAATTTCACCACCTGTTTTCTAAAGTTAAACTTTCAGGCGGCCATGGTTACGGAAAGACCTAACATCTAAAAGTCCCCTATACTACTGTTCATATTAAATCCAGAAAATTTAAGGCGATCGATGAAAAATCAGGAATTGTGATGCTAAATATTTCTAGCTTGAGTTTGAAAATTTTTATCGGTAGTTCACGATATCAGACTGTGTTATCACAGTGTAGTCTGTAATGAATTTTATCTAATAATATTTACCTTATACTCTTAATGCTTATTTGGTAGGATAATTTCATTCAATTCAGTTTAATGAATGATTAAATGTTTCAAAGTACTCTTTCTGCACTCTTGACTTTCTCCACAGGGGTGTACCAAACTATAATTATCGACCTGGAAGTTTAACATTTTTCCGAAATCTAAAACAAATTACTGCAGAGGTAGGTTTATTTTATCTAATATTTTTTATAATACTATGTTATGCTGTAAGCTGAAATTCCGTTGCCAGTTCATTTAATATGTATCATACCATGGTTACATTTAGTTTATCAAAGGCGGCGGAAATAATTTCGACGTTGACACTGTCCATTAACTTAAATTTTTCTCACTGAGGATGATTTATAACTGGTTTGAGATAGAGTATTTAGTGTATCATTTTACGTTGTAATGGTTTAGACGACCAAATAGTATCACTAATCTTCATACAAGTAACTGTAAATTAAATCTGGGTACTTAAACTTGTACTTACTTGCTGAATGTTTAAATCTTTTCAATCATTGCTTACTCTAACATTTGGAATTGTGAGAATAGAAGACTTGAATTTCCATATTGTGGATTCTATTGATCATTCTACTTCATTTATCTATGGTTAAAACAGACGCCTTTATTTATTATCCTTTTTGGTTAACAAAACTAAGTCTTCTAAGAATTCAGGTGTAAGCGAAACAATCACAGAAAAAGACGACACTCTTATCTGCTCTCAGTCCAGACGTTTAGAACGATGGGCGGAACACTTTAAAGAACAGGTGAGCTGGCCTTCAGCTACTCTACAACTACCCTCCATTCCCAAACAGCCTGAATGAAGCATTGAAGTAGGCCTCCCGATTCTAATTGAAGTTCAAGAAGCTATAGCTAATCTGAAACGCGGAAAAGCAGCTGGTTCAAATGGATTGGCCCCAAAGGTCTTTAAGGATGGTGGTCCAGTTTTAGCGATTAGGCTAACTAATATGTTAGCTAAGATCTAGGAGTTGGACGTAACCCCATATGACTGACTGGTCACAATCACTGATTGTCCCAATATATAAGAAAGGTTCAAAATTATCTTGTGATAACCATAGAGGGGTTAGTTTGACTAACATAGCATCTAAAATACTAGCCTCGATAATTATCAGACGCTTAACTAAGACTCGCGAACTGCAAACATGAGAGAATCAAGCTGGCTTCAGACCTCGTCGTGGCTGCCTCGACCACATATTCACCATTCGTCAGGTTCTAGAACACAGGCATGCCTATCGGCGTCCGACGATGGTGGTCTTTCTTGACTTAAAAGCAGCATTTGACTCCGTGGACCGCAAGATTCTGTGGCAGTGTCTGTCATTGAAAGGAGTACCTCAGAAGTACATAATCCTTGTGAAGGCTCTTTACTCGAACACAACCAGTCGAGTCAGAGCTTATGACGAACTGTCTCTGCTTTTGCGACCCCAAGTGGTGTCTGTTAAGGCTGCCCACTCTTTTTCTGTTCAATTTCATCATAGACCTTATTATGGGAATAACTTTCTTGTCTGAACATCGATCACTACGACGTGCAATGCTGATTAGTGTTAGGGATGGTTAGAAGAAATCTAGGGGCGGCCAATCCAAAACATGCCATCAGTGCTTGAAGTTAATAACTTCTGGTCTGAGCCATGTTGGTAGATGCAGACTACTTGGTTGGAATCCGCGCAACTATCATAACCAATGGTTAGAGTCTGTGTGACATGGCTGAGAATCGATCACAATGGCGTTTGTGTATACACTTTTTGTCTTCTCTTAAACCGTGAAATTCAGTCAGTCAGCTACAACGTAGGACCAGGCACATATGTGCATCGGTCCAGGTTGCCATACCACATTAACACAACAAGATGAACACCGGATTCATAGGAGTGGTTAGGTCAAAGGTTGCAATAAGGATATAGTATAGGAAGGAAGAATTAGTTCGTAGAAAGAGAGATATGAAGTGATTTTAATCTCTTAGTTTAAGGAAAGACAAAGAGTGTATACACCGACGCCATTGTGATCGATTCTGAGCCATGTCACCAAGAGTCTCCAACCATTGGTTACGAAAGTCACGCGGACCCCAACCAAGTAGTCTGCATCTACCAACATGGCTCAGACTAGAAGTTAGTGACTTCAAGCACTGATGCCACGTTTTGGTTTGGCCGCCCCTAACTTTCTTCCAACCATCCCCTACACCGGTTAGCATTGCACGTCGTGGTAATCGGTGTTCAGGCATACGTAATACGTGGCCCAACCATCTCAGTCGATGAAGATTCATAACCTCATCAACTGATTTACCATCATTCCCTAATACCCTGCGTCTAACCTCACTATTACTTACCCGGTGATCCCAGCAGATGCCAGCAATATTTCTAAGGCATCTGTGGTCAAATACTTGTAGCTTACGGGTGTCTTCTACTCTTAAAGGCCATGTTTCGCTGCCGTAAAGTAAGACAGAACGGACTGCCGCGCAGTATACTCGTCCTTTTATTGATAGACGGATATCTTGCCTTCGCCATGGGTGACGTAAGTTGGCAAAAGCCAAACGAGCTTTTCGAATCCGTGCTGAGATTTCGTCAGACACCAACCCATTAGGGCTGATCAGACTTCCAAGATAAGTGAAGTTGTCGACGCGTTCGACTACTTCACTCCCTATCCTTAGTTCAGGTGTTGACGCAGACCAGTCCTGAAGCAACAACTTGCATTTAGAGGGAGAGAAGCGCATCCCAAACATTCTGGCATTGTTGCTTAGTGCTACCAGAAGACTCTGCATTTTGTCAGCGTCTTCACCAAACAGGACTATATCATCTGCGTATTCTAAGTCGATAAGTGGACCTCCTGGAAGGAGATCAATACCCGAGAATTCAGTCGACGAGTGTTATTTCCATCAATAGGTCTATGATGAGGTTAAACAAAAATGGAGAAAGGACAACCTTGACGGACACCACTTGAAGTTGCAAAAGTAGATGACAGTTCGCCATAAGCCCTGACTCGACTAGTAGTGTTCGAGTAAAGAGCCTTCACAAGGTTTATGTACTTCTGAGGTACGCCTTTCAATGACAGACACTGCCACAGAGTCTCGCGGTCTACAGAGTCAAACGCTGCTTTTAAGTCAAGAAAGACCACCATCGTCGGACGCCGATAGATATGCCTGTGTTCTAGAACCTGACGAATGGTGAATATGTGGTCGATGCAGCCACGACCAGGTCTAAAGCCAGCTTGGTTCTCTCGAGTTTGTAGTTCACGAGTCTTAGTTAGGCGTCTGATAATTATCGAGGCCAGTATTTTAGATACTATGTTTGTTAAACTAATCCCTCTGTGGTTGTCACAGGATGATTTTGACCCTTTCTTATATATTGGGACGATAAGTGATTGCGACCAGTCAGATGGGATAAAGTCTAATTCCTAGATCTTAGCTAAAATATTAGTCAACCTAATCGCTAAAATTGGACCACCATCCTTAAAGACCTCTGGAGCCAATCCATCTGGACCAGCTGCCCTTCCTCGTTTCAGATTAACTATAGCCTTTTGAACTTCAGCAAGAGTTGGGGGATCTACTTCAATGTTCCATTCACATTGTCTGGGAATGGAGGGTAGTTGTAGAGTAGCTGAAGGCCAGCTGAACTGTTCTCTAAAAGGTTCCGCCCATCGTTCTAAACGTCTGGACTGGGAGCAGATGAGAGTATCATCTTTTTCCGAAATAATCTCACTTACACTTGACTTATTAATTCCAGTTTCTTTTATTAGTCTGTAAAGCTGTCTTGTGTTCCCTATAGTCGCCGCCTTTTCCATCTCTTTTGCTTTCGTTACCCACCACTGCTCACGGTCGTTCCTTAGACTTTTTCTTAACCTAGATCTGATTTGTTTTCGCACTTCATCATGTTCAGAACCTGATGGGACGAGTTTGCGAGAATCCATCAGTGTGACAGACCTTGAAGAAATCTACTGGTTCCTTGCAACTCTGTGGTTTAAGTCACTAATAGATGTCACTGCTGTTTCCACAGCTGATTGTATGCCCTTCCAAGCAACATCTGGGTCAGCCTTGTCTTCACAACTACCTAAGTGTGACCTCAGTTGTTCCTGGAACCTACTTTTGGTTTTCTCGTTACTCAACTCAGTTCTAATTGTTCTTTTTACTGAGGCTTTTTTGCGTCCAGTGAGGCGCAAGCAGATGCGTACCCGTATTAGGGCATGGTCGGAGTCCAAGCAGGTACTCCAGAATGAGCGATAACCTTCTACCGACCCTCTCCAATGATGACTGATGGCAATATGGTCTATTTGAGTCCATCGTTGGTTTGGTGTAGGGGGTCGCCATGTTAGACGATGTCTCTCCTTATGCTTAAAATTTGTGTTTGCTAAAAATAAACGATTGTCTGAGCATAGCTGCAGCAGACGATCACCATTATCTGTTCGCTGTGTCGGAATACTAAAATATCCACCTAAATGCCTTTCTGTTTGGTTTAAGCTTCCTATCTGAGCATTAAAATCACCTGCTACGAGTACTATGTCTGAGCGTTTAGCTTTCTGAAGAAGTTCAGAAAGCTTTCTGTAAAATTCATCTTTCACTTCATCTGAGCTGCAGTCAGTGGGAGCGTAGACAGAAACGACAAAAAGGCAACGACGTGTGTCCCTATCCTTCCGAGTTCTTACGTAGCCGTTCAGCCGAACAGCACATAGACGACTGTTGACGGGGATCCACTCTAGCAGTGCTTGTTCGGCCCTCATGCTTAGTGCTATGCCTACACCTGCCAGTCCACGAGAACTGGCCATCGGGTCACCAGATACACGAAGGGTGTATCTCGTTGGCTCTCCGTTTTGCCGAGGTGAGGTCAAGTGAATGACCACACTGGGATCCTGTATGCGTGTTTCAGAGACACAGCATACATCAATGGAAAGAGACTCTAGGGTTTTAGCCAAGGAAGCCTGCTGACCGATTTGACATAGAGTGCGTACGTTGAAAGCTCCAATGTGTAGTTTGGAGCGAGGTTTCAGTAGACCTGGGACAGAGTTTTGAGCACTAGAATCGTTGGCTATGGTGACACTTGAGGAGGAAGCCGAAGGAGGAAGTTTAGGGTTGAAAGTCGATGTAGGAGGAATAATAGGAATTGAAGAGGAAGGTTGATTATGAATACAGTGGTCTTGGGTGCTGTTAGAGGTATGAGGGCGGTTATCACTTCCCGGTTGCCCACACCGTGGAAGGGTTCTTCTGGAGGTACCTGAAAAGGAAATTGGATTAGAGGTGGTCTCAGTGACCTGAGAGCGTGACCGCAGTGCCCAAGGGACAACTGCTTGAGGCCGGTCGCGCACGGCCTTTTCGTGGAAGGTTTTCGACGTGTTAGCTCCGTTCTTCAAAGGGCCTTACCGCCGGAGACGGAAATCCGTGAGGCAAGGTGAGGTGTGCATTTTTAGGGTGGACCTTTTCTAACCCCACCCCTCCTTGTGAGAAGGCAGCATCGCTGTCATGCTGGTTGTCTGAAGGAAACACCTTACTGCTGTCACACCTCTGTACAGTCAGCAGTACGACTTCGCCTTCGGACCTTGGGTTTGTTGCTTTTAGTCTTACCGCTCTTCAACCGACCTGTCTGACATGGTAGGACCTTGAGGAACGGTTGTTCCAGCCAGTATAGCTCGGTTGCTTCATCACGATAGGCAAGCCCGACCACCACGTCAAGGTAGCAACAACGGTCGGGAACCGTGAAATTAAAATTACTTTATACCTTTCTTTCTACCAATTAGTTCGTTTTTCCTGTATTATATTCTCATACACAATCTTTTTTATATATTACTACCATTGAAGTAACCACTATAAATTTGGTGTTGATCTTGTTGTACTAATAAGGTGTGGCAACTTGGACCGATGCATATATGTACCTGGTCCTACGTTGTAGCTGACAGACTAAAGCACATACACCTGCGTAGAATTTTTAGATTTTGTTGATATGTAGGCAACACGCAGCTTGTTTTTTTCACTTTTAACCAACTTTTTTGCTATTGATGTTTTAACAGTATCTGTCCATATTCAATACGCAAGTTCTTTTTATCAAAGAAAGAACAATTGTAAAGTAGACTTTGTAGATAAACTGGTTAGTTTTCAAGTACTGTATACAATAGCAAATTATTATCATCCTTCAACTGCAAATATTTACTCGCTTCCTTATGTGATTGCTTCCACACGTAGTTATATTTAGAAACATAGAAGAGCAACTCAGTGATTTAAGCTCGTATATTCAAATCACTAAATAATTAGCAGATTTGGACCCATCTCCACTCATTTCTCTTTAGCCACCATCCGGATAATAACTCTATCCATTGATTCTCATTCAGAAGATATGTTTCAATAGCCGGTTAAGTGAGTTTATACTTGGTTACCGAACTGCATTAATATTTTCTAGGGGTTAATCAGTAATTTTATTTCCTATTCATTTCAAGTTGTGAATAGTTGAATGGGACAAGAAATTTTGTTGGGATTCATATTACTATTTATTTAACTATTGTTTGACATTTTCTATTATAAATATATATATATATATATATATATATATATATATATATATATATATATTTATTTATTTACCTGTTTTTACAGAAAATAGAAGAACCTGTATTCAAACCTTTCAGTGGTACAGGTCATCAATTGAAATCACGCAAGAAATGAAAGTCTAATATCCTCCATATTAAATTATTTGTCTCACTGTTTGTAACAAAGATTTACACTGTCAATTTTTCGAGTTTTATTTCATTTGTTTAGAAGCACTTATATAATTTGGTTGTTAATATTTTTTGCGTAGTAACAAATCTGTTAAATTGACAGTTTTTCTCGAGTGTCCTCGCATCCCACGCACTATGAAATGTCACCTTTTATGAAATAATTTGTTTTTTTATTTTTCAAAAGTCAGATAAAACCTTGTGATATTTCACTGATTAAAATGAAATTGACGTTAGGCGGTTGGAGACGATTGTCATGCTAGTTGTCACTCTTCAGCTAGGCATTTTTGCTATCTTGAGCGGTATAAATATGAATTAGTGGTCAGTTATTTAATAAACAGTTAAGATCAAAAATGTCAATCACCAAAACAAACAGTGGTTATTCCATCGATCACGACCAAGACATAATATAACGTGATTTTGTGATCGTGTATTTGGTGCAATGTATAATTAATTTGTTCCATCTAAATTTACTGACAGTTTACTTAGTAGCTACTGATTTTAGAAGTTCCAAGTTCGTTATCAGTATATTGATGATAAACAATTAGCAATATAAGGACGATTTTCTAAGAAATACAAATGAAATAGTATTTACCCATCAAGCATTTTAAAGCCAAATAAAAAATAAAAAATGTTATATTCATTAATTATTATTACAACCAGTAGTCGGTAGTGGACAGGAATAAGGCATCGTTATTGGCGTTCATAATACATCAGAAACTGATCGACATCCAAAATGAAAATTCGACAACCTACGATTATGATTGTATGAACAACAGATCATATTGTGTTAAGGATGCTGAATTCCCAAACACAACATTAGGATGATGTCAAATTTTAAAATTCTTGTGGTGATTGAAGCGAATTTTCATTTGTATTAATTTATTAAGTACGAAGTTAGTTTGATTTTTTATTCATTTCTCACTATATTCATAATTTCACTATGACTATGATCATCTGACGATTATTTAGCTAAATAAACTTTTGTAAAAATATTTGGACCACTTGACGACCATTCAATTTAAATTGAACATAATTTAATTCTTCTGGAGTCTTAACCAATACATCTTCTTTACAAGAACTCTCTTTTAATTGCGCAAAGGAATATCGTTGAAGTGTCTCATATTAGTCTCTCCGTCTATCCAATCCTCATGGGTCTTTTTTCGTACTAGGAGAATCTCTCAAACACTCGTCATTCGAAACCACCATACCCTTCTTGCTCAAACAAATCTACAACATACTGTACGTACATTCTATCCATGTTTACCTGATCTTATAATTTTATTATGAAAAATGGTGTTCCATTCTATTCTTTTGTAAACAGAAAGAAGCATACAATCTTGATTGTCTGGCCATTTTTAACTGTCATTCGATTTTTATGAGATTCTCTGGATTTATCTAGCAAGTATATTGAAGGATTTTGTGAACAGATATCGGTCGACTTCGATACCATTCTATTCATCATTTCAAACAATAAGAAACCATGTACACGATACTAATAATAATTCAAAACCCATAAACAATAGCAATGATATTGTAGCTTTATTAACTTATGTGTTCATTCTCAAAAATCAAGGCACTTTTTATGACATAGAATCAACACCAAATACGCGACTCGACCATATTATTAGTTACGGATTTAAGAGGCATAAATCATTACAGACAACAGAAACTTACCTGGCGCCGGGTTCAGGGTGATCAGGAATGCTCTGACTCCGGGTGGAGGCTCACCATTGCACCTCGGTGGGTTGAAACTCGCGACGAACCCTAACCGGGTGCGCTGGGGCGTGTAGTTTTGCTTTCTAATTTTCATTTTACAGTACTTTTCTACTAATTGATCTTAGTTCTTAAGGGAAACTACTGAAATTATTTACATAATTCATTGAATTTTCTGTATATGGTATCTATGTGTTGTGAATGCCAACTCAGGTGGGGAAAATCAATTTATTGGTAAATGCAAAATTACAGAATGATCTCGTAAAATATGAAAACCATACATTAAATACATAGTTTGCACATCTTCCACCAGTTGTCCTTTACATGTTTCATAATTCCTTTGTTATTGCAACTTCTGTTCTATTCAATTGAATCTCCTCAATCTTCTGCTGGCATGCATTCCGCCTCCGATTGCTACTACATACTACTTATATATGTCGACATAAGTAGCACACACCACAAATGTAGTTGTGGAACAAAAAGCTAGGTCATCATAAACAATTTTTGCATTTTATTGTATAGTTTCATCCTATTATTTTCAAAAGTAGAAATGTCATCAGAACTATCAATAAACTGGTTTTTTGCAACATTGTTTTTACTGACTAACAAATATTTAAGGAAAAAAAGCTAGCAATTGCTTACTTACGCCTGCTACCCCTTGTGGAGGAGTATAGACCGCCCACCAGCATTCTCCATCGCAATCTATCCTGGGCAATCCTTTCCAGTTGCCATTCACTCCTTTCATGTCTGCTTCCAATTCTCGACTCAGTGTGTTCTTTGACCTTTCTTGCTTCGTGATCCGGTTAGATGAGTTTTGCAATCTATGTCCTGTCCACTTCCAGTGTCTTTTCCTAATTTCATCTTCATCCGGAAGCTGGTTTGTTCTCTTCCAAAGTAGGCTGTTGCTTATCGTATCCGACCAACAAATATCGAGTATCTTGAGTAGACAATAGTTTATAAATACTTGTATGTTTTTGATGATGGTTGTGGTAGTTCTCGATGATGACTGACTGTGGTAGTTCTCCAAGTTTCAGCTCCGTACAGTGGAATTGTCTAGACGTTCGAATTGAGGATTCTGACTACGATATCAGTTGACACTTGTTTTGAGTCCCATATTTTCTTCAAGTGTAGAAATACTGCCATTGTTTTGGCGATCCTTCGCTTTACGTTTCCATCCGAACCTCCTTGTTCACCGATGATGCTGACTAGGTACAGTGGTTTTCTTGGACTGCATTAGTTCGTATGTATGGGGTAGAATAACTAGGTCATCTATGAAGTTCAAATCGTCTAGTTGCATCCAACCAGTCCATTGAATACCGTGCTTCCCCTCAGATGTAGAGATCTTCATAATCCAGTCGACCACTAGGAGGAAGAGAAAGAAGGAGAGTAAGCAGTCTTGTCTGACTCTGGTCTTCCCTTGGAATGCATCTGTCAGCTGTCCTTCATGCACGACTTCACAGTGTAGTCCGTCATATGAGTTCTGTATGTTGTTGACGATGTTCTCAGAAACTCGCACTAGTGTCGAAGAAGGTTCCATAAGGTCATGCAATCCACACTCAAACGCTTTCTCATAGTCGAGGAAGTTGATGTGCAGTGATGAGTTCCATTCAATTGATTGCTCAACGATCATCCGTGGTGTCGTGATTCGGTCTGTGCATGACCAATCCTTACGGAAAACGAACTGTTGATCTCGAAGTTGGGCTACTGGATCTTGCAACCGGTCCAGCAACACTGTTGAAAGCTTCTCCTGGTACCGATAGTAGTGTGATGCATGTGTAGCTACCACACTTGCTCAGATCTCCTTCCCTTGGTATGTAGACGAGGTATCCTACTTTTAGTCTGTCTAAAGCACTTGTTCCTCCTAAATCTTCCTGAATATGATGTGAATCATGTCTGCAGTTACTGCCAGATTTTCCACGTATTTCTGCTTGTCAGATCTGATGCTCTTCTCCACTCTCTTGTTTGCTTCTGCGTATCAGGCCTATGTCTTGGCTTTCTCTACTCTTGTTCGGCTTTTGTTAATTGCTGTCTTCCTGTTTCTCCTTACTTGAACCCTGTCTAGGGTGTCAGTGAGATTCACATTTCATGCTAATGCTTCTTTCGGCCCACCACATTCTGACATGTTAAAGCCGTTGGTTCTTCACTCCGTTCTCAGGCTTCTTCTTCGAGTAGATCTAGGAAGTCTTGGAACGTGTTGCTGAGAGCTATGTTGAATTCGCTGAGTTTATCAGTATGTCAAAAGAAGGCTGTATTGAACCTTTGTAATGCTGTTTCTCCAGTTGTCCAGTGTTTCTTTAGCTTTAGTTTTATCTTGGATATGACCAGGTAATGATCTGAATCTATATCAGCTCCTCTCTTTGTTTCTAATACTTCCGTGGATTTACTGAATTTTTATATTGGTTTAAATGTGATCGATCTGCCTCTGTGTGGTGAGGTCCAGTGAGACCCATGTAGCTTTGTGTATGCGTTTGTGGGGAATATAGTGCCACCTATAGCCATTTCGTTGAATGCACATAAGTTTGCTAATCTGTCACCGTTTTCCCAGTCCATGTCTTCCCATGATATCTTCATAACCGATGTAGTTCATTCCGGCTTTGGCGTCTAGGTCTCCATTCAGGATGGTCAGGTTCTTTCCTGGACACTTTTTTACGGTCGATTGCAGCCTCTCATAACACTTGTCTTTATCATCTTCGTCACTATCATTGGTGGGTGCATAACACTGAATAACATTTATTGTGGTCCTCCTCTTTGTTTTGAAGAATGCTTCCATGAATCTGGACCCGTAAGATACCCATCCTATGAGTACTTTTGTTCTTACTTGGACAGCATCAGAGCAACTTTCTGTGTGTGGAGCGTTTCTCTCTTCGTGACCAGAGTATAACATCATCTCTGCCGAATCTCTCCTTTTCTTTTCAGCTTTGGTTTAATGGGTTTCAATTATTCCGAGCACGGACAAGTTGTATTTCTCTTCTTGGTCTCCCACATTGTTCGAAAATTCCATGTACCTATATTAATTGTTGTTCTGGCTGTTAGGAGAGGCATCGGTCTCGTGACTTCCCGGGAATCTCGGCTTTCATCATGAGGCATCATAATTCTTCCTTCAACTCCCAGGACAGAGCTTAAATGGTTTAAATTGTTTATTCTAGTTAGCGCTTTCTAGCAATGCTTTTTTTACGGTATTGAGATGCTGACATCTTGCCCAACCCTCCTTTATCTGTGCTTGGAACTAGTAATAACACTTGAGGGGCTACAGGGGAAATGTTCAAAAACTCATCAGTCAATAAAGTGATTTTCATGGTAAGAAATTGTTTTTTTTCGTAATAATACGATGCACTGACACTTATCTAATAATTTTCACCTTACATAACTGATTAAAGTGTTGTTTTCTCCCAAATTACTTTAGTAATGTTAATGTAAGTAGTTTTAAAAAAATTTTCACTTGGCTAGTGTAGAATAGCATAGTATTGTTTAAAGTGTTCTGTGCTAACTGACTTTTTCTCGATAGTTGTTAAGATATATCTCCATCTATATCCATTTTGGTAGCTGGTTTTATGAAATAGTACATTTGAAGATAAATAATGTGGAGAGGATATTTAAGTCTTC